TCGTCAAGGAGCAAATTAAACAAAGATGCAGAACACCTGGATGAAGAAGAGAAGGCACTCTATAAGGACCTAATAAAATAGATAGGCATCAGGTTGAGTGCTGGGAACACACAGTCTTTATTTCATGGACATATACCAACTCTATTTTGAAGAAAATTTCCATGAACCTAAGGAATATTTGAATAAATGCACATTTTATTATTGATATTTTAGAAATGGCAAAGCATAGTTCTACACTGTGCATAAAGATGTATAAGGTGACTATAATTTTCTAAGTTTGCTTCTTTGCGTGCCACCCCCCCCCTTTTTTTTTTTTTCATTTAAAGCCTGGTATTTTTATAATAGATAATATTGGGGGAAAAAACCATGAAGAAGAAGAAAGGCAGCTCACAGGCAATTGAGTCCAACAAACCCCTTTACTCCTTCAATGTACTCTTCCTATCACATTACAGAATTTAAAAAATAAAACAAAAAAATGGCTTTTTCTTTGCTTTTACCTTTTATTCGTAATGCTACAATGACAAAAATAATACTGCGAATAAAGCAAAAGTATGTATAACTAACTAATTTAGGAGCAAAAAATCTGGTTCTGTGAGTTTTCTGACCAAATCAACAAAGGAATGATGAAAAGAATAAAGCCTAATGGCGTAGAACTCCCATGGGTTTCTTAGAGCATAGCTGTGTTCTGTGGGCCTTGATAAAGTTGTGTTTCTTTAACAAAGTCTATTTCCTTGAACAACTTGTGAAGACGGAAAGTTGAAGAATGTATGAACTGAGGTAAAGGCAGGCAAGAGACACATAAAATTATACAGTTTAAGGGCCAAGTATAACAGTTCACCACTCACTGGCAAACTACACTCAGGATACTGAGGCAGAAGGCTTGCCTTAAGTTTCAGGAGCCCTGGAGCTCCAAGACAATCCAGCCTATACTGTCCAGCCTGTCTCAAAAAACAGAAAAACAAAAACAAAGCAAAGCAAAGCAACAGTGAAGTGTAAACGGAAGTGGGGACGCTCACCTGCGGGTCTGCAGCTTTGAGGAAATGACTGTGTTCCCTGCTGTGCAACAGGGCTCTTTCTTTAATTACACTCTTCAGTCATCAGAGGATCGCCTGTCAGAGCTTTATCACTAGTTTCACTTTTCTTTTTCCATGGCACTGTCCCAGGAGGATTTCATTTCTCCATGGTAGGAAATATCCAGGCCATTGCTTACAGCAGCTGATCAGATCTAAATATCCCACTGCCTGTGGCAAGGCTACTTCCCCAAATCTGCACTTAACGACACATTTTCAAGCAGAAAACAGTCTGTGACCTGGACAAAATGACTGTCATTTCGCCCCAAATATCTGACATTAGCACATTCTAATCTATCAGTTGACAATAGTGACATATATGGCCTGTGTGTAAAATCTTAAAGGTAACATATTTCACAGCACATACGACATGAGGGAGATACTGTTTTTACACAGTATACTAAAATCTACAAGGAGCCATTACTGAGTAAACAAGATAAGCATCTGACGAGCTCAGAGACTGTCTGAGAAGCACTTTTGTGTGTACACAGCTCCTCAGCAATAGCAGCAGCAGCCTTGCCCTTGCTGCTGATTTCTTATGACGCTCAGTGTCTCCTCGGAGCCAGAGTGCACTGGCTGCTGCTGATCACGCTGTGAGACACCTGCACTGGTACTGGGGCTGTCGTGCCGCACAAAACCCTGCCATCTTCAGCCCGACACTGTGCACGTTATAATTATTCATCCAAATGAGTATGTCAGAGCAGCAGCAGCAGACCTCTCATCAGAGCAAAAGACAAATACATCAAAACATTATCAACTCAGCAGGCAGACGGGGACCATAAGGAAAATCACCCACTCCTGGTATGGATGCCACAGAGCCTTGTCCGCGATGTCACAAAAAGAAAGGAAAATGAAGATCTTCCAAGTTTAAAGTCCAGGAACACTGAAGCCAGAGAAGAAATGTACAGACGCAGACAAAGACTTTGTGAAATCGACAAACAGTGCTGTACATGCATCTTTATTGCTAGGCTACAGGAGTGACGTCTGTGCTGCCCAAGAATCAAAAATTTGTTTTTCAAAAAAGAGGAGAATAAAAAAAACCGTAAACATGTAGAAGCAGACCTGGGCCAGCCAGACCATAAAGAAGGACCACAGTGTCACTTCACATCACTTCTTCTTCGCCAGGTACAAGTTAGCACTGACAACGTTCTAACGTTGGAAAGACGCAAAGTTCGTATTTCTATTACCAAAAGCTTTATAACATAGACAGATGTTTAAATACAAACAAAAATGTTTGAAACTTTTCAATTTTAATTTCATGTATTGTATTTTTTTTAAAAAACAGAAATTACCTGACTGATACAAATGAAGACATCTCCAAAGTACATGCACATATATAATATGTCTAAACTTACTTTTGTCTAAAAATAAGTTTAGATTTTTCTATAATATTTGAACATGAATAAAAGATACAGACTTTCTTTGACATGAAAAAAGCAAAACCATTAAGCCTGTATCCAAGAGCACTCTCTGAAAGTTTGCCAAACTATACAATATACAGAGTTATAACAGAATCCATTAAAAGATGTTCATATTCCATGTGACCAGTAAAGCATCAGTGTCAAAACAATATGATGGATGCATAGCATTTTAAAAATACTTCAAATTAGCAAAGATTATGAACACAGCAATGATTATCAATTCTTGATAAGAATTAAAGGCAGACTACAATCAAAAAAATGGTGATATAAGAATTACTATGTGTGCCTGACTGTAAATACAGACTTAGACAACCAATTTGGGAAGGCAAGCTGGCAGGATTTAGTAACCTCAGAGGCATGTTCCATATAGAAGTTACAGGACCAATTTATACAGAAATCCTCACACATATGCAATGGGAAGTACACAGACGTGTTCTGTTGCAGGCTGATAAGAAACTGTGTGTGGGTAACTTTACCATTATGGTAGTGAATGATTTAACTAATTGATCAACATTTAAATATACAGCATTTTAAAGCGCAAATTGACACACATGGTTGAGAATGAGCAAATCAACAAAATGACACTGATTTAAACTTCCTTACACTGGAAATGTGGCATAAGAATATGCATAGATAACATACTTACAATTAAGGCAAAGAGACTCCTGTTGAGAAAACTTAAGACACACCAAAGAATTGGGGCCCAGAAAAGGAAATAGGGCCAGAGCAGCTCCAAGAACATTTTATTTCTGAGCGAGAGGGAGCTAGATGCACATGTAAAGCACATGTGATGAAATAGCATTTGTCAAGTGTGAGCTGTGTGTTAACAGGACTCAATTCTTCTAGAACTTTGATGAGAATTTTCAATATACTCTACAGACTGTAAAAGCATTACATTCCAGTTACTGGTAGTTAATCCCGTTTGCTTGGAGCTATTACAAAAAGCAATTTGAGAGTCAAATCTATAGCTCTTGTGGACAGTATTACATTAGCCCTATGCTCACAGGTCCAGGCTCTGAGCTCCGGGTAAACAGGAACATCGGATTTAAACCATTCTCGATATATTTTCCTTTATTTGCTGTGTCTTAACAATTTCCAAGAGAGGAGCTGAGATTTTTTTTTTTTTAAGAAGAAAATGAGAAAAATAAGTATGTCAGATTAATTATCTCAACTGTCACAAACCCAAGTCCTCTTAAGCATTTTAAAACTAATGTATGGGCAGTCTGGATGGTCACTGAGCAAGCTGCTTGCCATTCAAAGCTGATAAGCAGCATTCAGTCCCAGAACCCACATGAAGAAAGGCACCGACTTCCAGAGTTGTACACTATCTCCACATGTGCAAACAACACACAAATACATACACACAATGTATATACAATAACAACAAAGATGCCTTCTCATTTATACTACTCACGTATAATCTTAAACAAATTAAAACTTCAGAACAAAAACATAAATGGCTTCCACTCAGAACCCTTGTAAGGCATCACGGTGAGTATCTTTTCTCTTTCCAATCTATAAACAGAGATGCCTTCTCTCAGGTACTGTCAACTACCAAACTGTCCTGGTGCAAAGGACCACAGTGCCATGGTGAGATTGTTCTTTGAACCACAACAGTGTCCTCCTTTGATTTTTAAAGATATTTTAATACTAATATCCCCTTTAAGTATATAACATCAGTTTATAGCACAATTGTAAAGATGGTGATCTCTGTCAGTATACAAGGAAATTGTAGTAGCCTAAGTAAAGTAAGCACAGACATGAAGGCAGAGTGCAAACATCAGGCCTTCTGTTCCCTTCCTCTTAGAGAGGTTATATGTCACCAACATTTACAATCAGCAACACACACAGTCGCACATACGCTCTACTTATACCCGCTGCTCTCTAAAGAGCTTCCTAAGACTCAAACTGAATGAGCAAAGCGCCTCAGTAGAGGTTCTGCATGTTTGCTTAGGGAGATCTAGACACGTGTCTGCATGCTCCTGTGTGCACTTACAATAGGAAACACATTAACTTTTGAGAAATGCAGGGGCTGTCTCTGACATGAACCCAGTGGCTACACTCTGACCGCATCCCCTGGATGGGGGAGCGGCCTTGCCAGGCCACAGAGGAGGACAATGCAGCCAGTTCAGATGGGATCAGGTAAGCTAGGATCAGATGAAAGGGGAGGAGGACCTCCCCTATCCATGGACTTGGAGAGGGGCATAAGAGGAGATGAGGGAGAGAGGGTAGGATTCGGAGGGGAGGAGGAAGGGGGCTACAGCTGGGATACAAAGTGATTGAAATGTAATTAATATAAAAATTTTAAAAAAAGACCACTAAAAAAAAATTGGAAAATATACATTATCACAGGAGGGCTTAGATATAAATGCATAAAATAAATAAATATTTAGATATAAACATTTAGATATAAATGCATAAAAATAAATAAATATTTTAGAGCCTAAGCCAATCATTCAATTAAAAGGAAAATACTTTTTAATTATTTAAAATGAACTTGGTTATTTACCTGTGGGGTCCAGGAAACAGAAAACGGAACAGGAAAGTCCACAACACAGTCTGGTGGCTCCACAGGGTGCTGTGACAAAGCATGAAAGTGGGTCATTCCTGTGTCTAGATGCATTAGGAAAAGCAGTATAACTACAAACATTCATACTGATGTAATACTTATTATGTACTACACATACACACACACTGTTATGTGTTATAATGATTCCGGGAGCTGACTAACAGCCATCCATGCTTAGAAGATACAAGGTTCATTCAGTGACGTGGGGTTACAGAAAGTGCTGAGTACCCAGGAACAACCTGAGTCAGTATCACTGCCGCTGTTGTGATCTGAGGAGAGACCAAAAGCTGAATGTCAGTTTTTCTTTAAACAAAGATTAAACCAATTGTTTCCTCTGGTTAAAAATTTCATCTCAATTAGCTTCAGTCATCAACTGAATAAACAGTGTATGCTAAAATAATCAAGAAGCACACACGTGCAATTGTTAATTTAAATGTGACTTCCCATAAGAAGAAGAAAAAAGCTTTCTGCTTCATTAGGAAAAATAAAACTTACAGTTTTAAGCAACAAAAAAAATTTTAAGATTGGTAAAACTATTAGAAAATTAATTACTTGGTTATATAAAAAGAAATGATAGTCATAAGAACAAATCAGGTTTCTAAGTTAACAAGATGCAAAAGCTTTTTTAAAATTAAATTTCTTATTAAAAAATTATATCTCAAGATCAATTAAAATACAATCTAGAATCTTCAAAGTCATTTATAATTAAAAATATTCATTACTTGCCATTAAAAATTCCTCAAAAGAAATTCCTTAAAAGAAAATGAGTTTCTAAAAGTTTCCTATGACAGGCTATTTTAAGTTCCAACCTTTACTCTTTCAGTCTCTTATTTTTCATTACTTTATTGGGTAAAAGTCACAGGAATGGAAGGAGGAGAGAGAGGAAGAGGAGATGGAGCTTTATTTTTTAATTACTATATTTGAAGCCAGTGTGTTCCAAAGAATTACCATTTTGCTATCAAGACAAGTGTGGCTAAAATGACATCATCAATGCACACTAATTCTATCTAGCAACATAAAGCTGGTAGCAAAATTAATAGTAAGCCCCAGAAAAATATTACAATGCTTAATTCTAAAACAAGAAAAAATAAGATAAGGTTAAGGAAAACGGAGTATATTCAAATAACTCAAAATATTCCAGGTTGCTCTTCAGACCAGGGGCTATAAGCATGGGGAAAACATATCTAAGTTTTTCTTTCTAAGTCACGTGAGTCCTTCCTGCAGCCCTCCCCAACCGGCCTCACCTCTGCTCTCTAGCTCCAGCATGTTACCTCACGTCACTATCCTAGATGAGTTGTTTAACTTCTCTGCCCTCCACACGGGAAAGCGACAGAACTTAAAGTGCTATAAAGATCCATTTGCTGTAAATTATCAGGATTCCTTAAAAAATATGCAGAGTGGACAGGGCTTAGCAGGGGAAGTGGCTTGCCACCAAGCCTGACATCGCAAGGTAAATCTACAGAGTCCACGTGGTGGAAGTCCACGGACTTCCAAAAGCTGTCCTTCAGCATGTATAACACATACACACATATACACATGAGAGGAGACCGATAGGTAGGTAGGGAGGTAGGGAGGGAGGGAGGTAGACAGACAGATGGATTAACTGACAGGTAGATGATAGCTATGTAAAAGGTTCAAAAATAGTAAGTAGGTGCCCTCAAAACCTCTCTGGGTCAGAAATAGAAATTCCATTGACTTTGGGTCACTACTCGCCTAGGAATCTACCGACGGCCAGGCTCAGTCCTAACTTAGCGTCATCAGTGTGGGTAGTTGAAGGAGACAAGGGAAGGCTTGCTGTTCTACAGAAAGCCTCTATGGCCCTGCATGACCTCAAGCACAGACATAGCTCAGTTCTATAAACCTCTTTTGAAGCAACCCAGATGATAAACTTTCAAGGAATTACATACCGTTACATATATATATTTGTTGCAATAGTTTTCTGATACCACAGTTCTCTTGCACCTCAACACACTTTAACCAAGTCCTAGTCAGCATGGACAGAGCATGGAGTCTGTCCCCCAGTGAATATGCACAAACCACAGCGGCCCACACGCTCAGCCTCTAACAGGTGCTAGAGTTGTGATTATTACACAGGACTTCATTTATTTGCTTATTTGTTCATTACCGGATTTATCGATTCTTAACAGGAGTGGTCTAGCCCAAATCGGGACTGTGTTCATTGTGGTTTAGAGACTGTGAAGAGGGTGGTAGAATTGTGAGAGTATGTGTTCAAGAATAAAAACAAAACAAAAACATACTTCTTTAATGTTTGTCAAGTCCAGAAACAAAGATTTAAGTACAAAAAAACCAATTTAAGATTTGATTTAAAAAAAAAAATCATAGCTTGGAATAGGATATTATATTCTACAATTTTACCATAAAGCTTTAGCAATTAATGTTTCTTAACTGATATTCCTAGGCCCAAATACTAAGTGGGGAAGAAGGGGAAAGAGGGGAGAGTGAGAGCACATAATTAAGACAAACTTGGTCTACCTATAAATCTAAATTAAATAGACAAGCCTAATAAATCCCAGTAACATAACACCAAGATCCCTGTGTCTTTGTCAAATACAAATAACTCCTCACTCCTCCCATCTTCAATAAAGCTTTGTCTTTTCTCTACTAGTGTCTGTTGGTCGTAAGTGTTGTGGAACTATAAATGTACAGCAGAAACAGGAGAACAGTTTTAGAGAAGTATCTGGTCTCATTACAAAGCTATTTTCTTAGAAAGCAGCAGACATAATGGAACATACCAATGACCACACAGCATCTGCAATATCACCAACTATCGAAGTCAATGTTACACTTACATAGATAAAAAAATCTTTTGTTATATCAAACCCCTTAACATCTTCTAAATAGACTTAAAGGCGGTGTGGACACCAGCCCTGAGACAGATCACCTAAAGCCTGAGGTCTGGCCTTCCTTGGGCCGGCACAGCTCTCCTCAGTATACCTAAGAACAAGTGACGTGAGTGGAGAGACACGGCCCTTGCTGCTGGCCAAGTGCGACACTCTCTAAGGCTGAAAACTGATTCTTCTCTTTTTAAAAGTATACCTTTAAAAACTTTAAAAGAAATAAAATTTAATAAGATAAACCTCTGACTCACTTTACAAATTAGACTCATATCCAACTAATTTGCTGATATGTCTTAAAATTATGCCTCAGTATTCTGCGTGAATAGGAGAAATGAGTCACTTCTGAAGCTGTCCCCTGTAGGGACTAAGAGATAGCTACTTTTCTGTGCCACCCAATATAGCTTCATATGTTTGTTTATTTTCTCTTTTGAAAGCCTTAAATGCCAGATACATTTTTTAAAGGACAAACAAAATTGATCTTTTCATTGCTACAATCTTCTGAAATAGAAGTGATTGATGACTACTAGAAACAATAAAAATCTGGATGTCCTGGTTCCCTTTAAATTTCAGTGTTTCCCCAGTCATTACTAAGAGAATGATTAATATCGTGGGCTTTCTTATTTATTTCTTAAAATTCCTGATCTAGAACTAAAAATTAAAGATGAAATGAAAATATAAATGTCTTACGAGTGTTTATAGATCACTAGCATACACAACCTTATAAACAGACACAACCTTTCTAAATTCTTAATATATACACTCAAAACTTTAGCCAAAATAAATAACTGTGTGTGCATGTGCAATGTGCAATGCTGAGAGAGACAAAGGGAAAGTGTGAAGAGGGTTTGTGTGCGTGTGTGTGCGTGTGTGTGTGTGTCTGTGTGTATCTGTGTGTGGTAGTGGAGTCGGGTGAGGAAAGAGATAAAAACAACGAAAACAACTCAGCCAAAAGCAAAGCAAAAGACTCTCCCAGAAGACCTGTACTTAGAACCACTAAAGCGTCACTCTCTGTTCTACATGGGATATTACAGCAATGACATCACAGGGCTTGGAGGCTGCTGACTCTCTAATATTTCCTGATTACATGGACTACATTTTTACGAAATTTGGAGTAAATCAGTGACAGGAAATTGTATCTAGGCTTTTAGAAACTAAATAAATAAATTCCTTGCAGCTTTCTAAAATCAATTTTTAAAATCACCCACGTCACTTTAAAATAACCAGCACTTCTAAACAGTGAAAGCACTCAGAGTTGGTTTCTCACAGTATTTCCTGACCACAATAACAAGACATGTACCTTCGCCTTCAGCTTGACAGTGATTAGGTGCTTTCTACCAGAAGCATCGTCTGCTTTCAACTTGATGGTACTGAAGGAAGTATCCACACACACAAGTCTGGTGAGTATAAGAGAATAAAATATGATCACACAGAGGTGGGCTATGAGGTGGGGGAGATGGTACCATTCCTACTACTGCATGGAGAAAATTAATCAGGAATTTCTGCATGCCAGCTTCTCCTCCTGCTATAGATTTACTGCAGTTAATACACCAGCCAGTGCTTAATGCAGCCATAGATCTCTGGATTATTTACAATGTGTGTCAAGGCTCATGCTGTGGTCAGTGAGCACTATGTTTCGCTTTTCCATCACTGGAACCTTTGGCACACACAGCATGTTTCTGTCAGCTTCTACTTATGTACACATTAAACTTCCTGTCAGATTCTTTGATCCATTTCTGTAGTCTCATACAGTATGAGATTTTTATGCTTCCTTTATTTGTTTTTCTCCTCAATGAACTTCTCCTTTGTTATCAGTAATGCTACTGCACAACAATCTGGCTGATATTAGTTCACATACTCAAATTAATCCTATGAAAAATGCTGTCTGAGCACAGGTATGGACTAGTCTCTTAGCAATAAATTTCCTTCTTGCACAAAATATAGCTTCTGACACTTAACCTAGGCATGTATTCAAGATGACTAATATTTTAAACACACAGCTCAAACTCAATTGTTTTGGCTTTGAATTGCTCTAAATGCATGAATTCTCTACAATGAAAACCAATATCCTTTGAAATACATCACTCTGTAAAAATATAGTCCCTTGAGTAGCATAAGCTACTGCCAGAGTGGCTCGAAGTTAGCAGTGTGTTTACCAGTACAGCAGGTGTGTGGACGGTTCTTGACAGTATTACACCGCCATTCCCTTGTAAAGATCAAAAGTGGACTGAAAGCACTGTGCACCTCATCGCCCAGAGTGATGGCAAGAACCACCAGCATTCAGAAGAAACATTGGCTTCCTAACCCAGCTGACTTATTTATCATCACTACAACCACTTGGTTACTGACCAGGGACAAAGAAAATGTGGTTGGATGAAAGAAAACATTGGACAACGAAGCTGGGAACACTAATGAAAAACAGACAGGAATCTGAAGAGCGTATGTGTTTTCAACAGTGAACTATGAAGTAAAACCAAACTATGAAGAGGAGAAGTTCTTCCTAAACAGTAAAAAGTCCACGGTCTTAGAGAACAAATGAAGTAAAGTCATGGTAGAACACATATTTGGTTTTTTTCCACTGATACTTTAAAAATCTACTAAACTTTAAAAACCTATTAAACTTCCCACATCCAAAAAATATAAATACCTATCTCCATCACCCTTTTCATAGGTTCAGATACATGTGCACCTGATGGAAAATTACTTTAGATCCAAAACCAAGAGACATATTCATTTATGTGTTTTCCCTTTATTTATAAGCAACAATATTATTTAAAAATAAAGGAATTTCTAATATATGAAACTCCAATTTTAAAAATAACAAGAGTTAGCGCTGATTAAAGCAAAAGCATAACAACTTTTATGAAGATCCAGCATTAAAAGCATTGGCTGAAAACGGATCAATGGGGCAGGATCCACGATGGTGACAGTTAGCAAAAGAAGAAATCTGTAAAATAGGGTGTGATTGTACATGGACAAAAAAATATGGGTATTTCTTTTTAACCCAGAAAATCAAAATGGAAGATCAGTTTTAACTAAATTATAAACAATAACACATGTAGAAAACTTACAAATGTTCTGCTCTTAACTTTTCAGTGAAAAGGTTTTATGTAATCATAAAGACTAAATTGTTTCCTGATTGTACATTTAGAATAGAGCAAGACAAAACTTAAATAATGTTAGCTACAGAAGCTGATGTAACTCTACTTAACACCTGCAATTTAAAAGAAAGAAATGAGCTGGGCAGTAGTGGCACATGCCTTTTAATCCCAGCACGTGGGAGATGGGAGGCAGGTGGATCTGTGAGTTCAAGGCCAGCCTGGTCTACAGAGTAAATTCCAGGACAGCAGGATAGCCAAGGCTACACGAAGAAACCCTGTTTTGAAAAACCAAAAAGAAAAAAGGAAGGAAGGGAGGAAGGAAGGAAGGAGGGAGGGAGGGAGGGAGGGAGGGAGGGAAGGAAGGAAGGAAGGAAGGAAGGAAGGAAGGAAGGAAGGAAGGACAAACCCTGGAAAGGACAAAGGAAAAAAAGAAAATTTAAAGAGTGATGAAATCTACAATTGTTAATGTGAGTCAAGAGCCAATAGCTACATATTGAACCAAGTAAACATGAATGGGATTTAAAATATATTAAACCTACTGTGCTCTGTCTCTTCTGAAATACTGTACTTCTTTTGATCAAGAATCTCGATTAGGTTTCTTTTCCTTCAACCATTTAGATACATTTACTAACATCCACAGGCAGCCCACACCGAAGGACAGACAGTAGGCGTGTACTTTCAGAAGGACCCAGAGGGGATAAGAACACCATAAGAAGACCAACAGAGTCAACTAACCTAGGCCCATGGGCAGCTTACAAGAGATAAAACACCAAGCAAATAGGATGCATGGATCTACGCTGTAAGGACTGGAGCTGTCAAAACTGTGACAGCTCCATCCTTACAGACTGTGTCACTCCCAACTACTCAACACTCCCTCCCTGACCACTCTTGTCACTTCATTTTTCTTCACAACATCAATCCGTGCTGTCTTCTGTGTCAACATTTACTCTTCCTTTGAAATCAAATGAACCCCTTGCCCTAAAATATTCAGCTGGTCCCTGTCACCCACAGTCTCTGACCCCGCAGTGGAGACTCTGCAGCCTGGCCTCACAGCACCAGCCCTTCCTGTGGGCACCTGACCACCTGCATGTGCTGTCTCCTCATTCTCCAGATTTCACCTCTCCTCTTGTGATACCCATCTCTCCTCTAAGAACTCTGCCAAGTCCTCACAGACGCAAAGTGCTTCAGTTTCACCTTAGTGAAAGACTCATACCTTTTCGTTTGGGATTTAGCTTGCCAGTCAACAAGCTTTTCAGGTAGCAAATGTGTAGTTTTTTGTTCCTATGACTGTGAAAATGCAGCATGTATACATGAACATCCAAGAGCTACTGTAAGTCTGGCTAGCTTTTTTTTTTTTTTACTGAATTTGGTACCAGCTTTAACAGATAAAGAGCAGCTACTAAGTGGTCAAAAAAACAATAATAACAAACACAAAAACAAACACACAAAAAACCAAAAATCTTTACCAGCATATTTGGCAATTTAATCTACTGACAATTAGAGATATAGACTTAAACAGTCAGAATGCAGAAAAAGGCAAATCCAGAGAACTTAGTCTAACAGTCTGTCAGCTTTTCCTCTGATAAACCCTTGAGCAAATGGGGTAAAAATATCAGGAGAAAGCTACTAAAAGACAAATAATATCCAGAAAGTTAATAAAAGTAAGAGATTATTTATAATTCAGAGCTGGGATGAGAGGAAATATAAATGAATACACCAGGAGTTCAATGAGATCCCATGAAATATGATGCTTAAAAGCAGTGCAACAAAAGATGGATGGATTCTTGCAAAAAAAAAAAAAAAAGGGGGGGGGGACATTTTAATTGAAATGAAAACTGGTCTTGTAGGTAGAAGAACTGAGAGTTTAAGATCCACCAATGGAAAAAGCAATGCCAGTAAAAAATTGGCTGTTGCTTCAAAGACAAAATGGAGAGCAGCAAACAGGCCAACCAATTCATGGAGACCAGCTCCTCTAAATACAATCTCGCCTATCTCAACTTCTTCCCATTTTATCTGTCTAGCAAAGGAAATCTTCTGAGGAACAGGGAAGTACTACCCTGAACTTACCCTATTTGCTTTTCCAACATGCAACAAAAGATTATTAGACACAGCGCTGCAGCCTGTGGAAGCAATGGCAAACACCACACCTGACACTCCAGGGAGTAGTGATCAAGGGGCATTACCTGAGCTAGCACCAAATTAAGCCACTTTCCAGTTTCCTCTGAAAAATATTTGTAACTTCAGTGAATAGAAACAAATGTTTTAAGGATGAAGAAAATGATGAGAAAGAAGAGGAAGGGAAAAGGAGAACAAAGAAAAGAGTAGTCAATGACTGAGTTCAAATCGTCCAGGAATATGCAGCAGACCTAGCATAAAGCCCTTTACTTGGTTTTCACGAATCAAGCCGAGACAACAAAGGTTCCAAGGAAATGAGGTAACCTAGGGTTGCACTGAGGGAAGAAGAGACACTTCCAGGAGTATGTGACCACAGGAGCTAGAATGTTTAGAGTCTCTGAGGAAGAAAAAGAAATCAGCAGAATTATAACTTCACTTATTTCCAGTTTAACCCTGGCTTCTAGGTCGCGGTTAGTTTAGGGTTACCCTATAGATACTTGTAAATGAGCAGAGGTGCATTCTTTTGTAGTGATCTTCATACTGATTTCATGAAGCACGGAATTTTGAGAAATTTCCAAATGGTAATTTCAGTTACAAGAACAGTGTGTGAAAGTGAGAATGTCAACTCAAGAAGTCCCTACAGGAATGTGCATCAATGTGCTAAATACCAGGCACACAAAGTATCGAAAATATTTGCTAACTGTGGGTAACAAAAACAAGAAACTACCCTATCAAAAAGAACAGATAGGAAAAATTAGAGATAGGGGTTACTCAAAATTAAGTAGAATCAATCATCAGAGAACTTTCTATCATAACTCAGGGACAAGCAACTAGAAATAAATACACGGAAACAGTCGAGATGTACTCTAGCCCACATACCTGAAGGGCCGTCGAGAACTAAAGTGTCGATAGAGAAGTATCTGGTTAAAATGTTTGCTAAGTGTCTTGAGGGTGAGGAGGTGGGTGGTTTGGAATGGTGAAGCCAAAACATTATTGCCAAGCCTTTTCATGAAAGTTAATAGAAACGCAAAATATCTTAAGCCAAACTACACATAATAGGTAGGAAAGAAAGTCTTTCTCTGAGAGAAGAGGTGCAAGGGACCAAAGGATTTAGAACAAAAAAAGGGGAGGGAAGAGAGAAAGAGAGAGTGAAACCCTGTTAAACCCCAATGAATTAAAACAAAAGAAAATAGAAAATTTTACATCAATGATGTTTTAAGAAGGAGTTTTAAGAGGAAAAGTTAGTCAATAATATAAAGTACTAGAAAAACTCAAGAAAAAGAACAACTGGATCTGTCCAAAGACGTGTCAGTTTTCATGACTACAACTTCAATGTGAATGTAAAATTGAATGCCTGCAAGAGATGATACACTCTTCAACATACTTACTTTTAATAACACTCATAAAGAATTTGTGGTAGTTAAGAAAAATATTGAAAACAGAAAAATAGCAAGAAAACAAAAGCCAAAGTATTACTAGTGTACAGAAATATAAATTACCAAAATGACTCTAAAGTGGACCAAACATCTGACACTAAGCTTCGCCTAGCTATTGCAAAGGAAGTTTAACCAATCAATTAATAATTCATGTTATTGATTAAGTAAAAGGGCAGATGTTCCAGAGAAATATAACTTTTAACATATGGAAAGAAAAACTATCGTTCATTATTTCTCAAAAATACTGTATCATAAAATGGAAGACACCCAACCTAACTTCCTGCATCTCATGAGGTGGCTGCATTTAAGATCCCTTAATGCAAATCGATGACTCCACAATGATGGTTCTCGTTCTAAAATCCAATTTGGAAAACATAATTCTATTATACACACTTCGACAGCCTAGCTACGCTGAAACACTATTCCTTGGAATCATGCTTTCAGTAAAATTTTAATAGTTGGATGTGAAGTTTTAATTTTTGGCAGGAGACCAACGTTTAAATTTCAAGGCTTGTGAGTACAGATCTATATACTATTAGCCAAGAAGACAATGAAGAAACAGTAATAAAAAAAATGTAAGAAGTCTAAATAAAATACAAGTCTGAAATGATGGCCGACCCATCTCTATAGAGGCACACCAAAAGACTTCTGCTCCACTCAAATCCAATGTTGAAAACAAACAAACAAGCAAAAAAAAAAAAAAAAAAAAAATCTGTGTACAGGGTCTTTTCTGAGACTGATACTCCAACCAAGGACCACGCTTGGAGATAAGCTAGAAACCCTGCACAGATATAGCCCATGGCAGCTCAGCGTCCAAGTGGGTTCCATAGTAATGGGAACAGGGACTGTCTCTGACATGAACTGATTGGCCTGATCTTTGATCACCTCCCCAAGGGGAGAGCAACCTTACCAGGCCACAGAGGAAGAATTGATAGACTAGGATCAGAAGGAAGGGGAGGAAGACCTCTCCTATCAGTGGACTGGGGAAGGGACAAGGGTGGAGAAGGGGAAGAAGGGTGGGATTGGAAGAGGAGGAGGGAGGGAGCTACAGGGGGGAACAAAGTGAATAAATTGTAATGAATAAAAATTAAAATTAAAAAAGAAATACATATATACTTAATAATAATGCGATGCTTAAAAATGTCTCTCTTCCTCCTTCCTCTCTCTGTCTGTTTCTCTCTCTCTGCCTCTCTATCTCTCTTGTGTTTTGAAACAGGGGGTCTTTCTGCATAGCCCTGGCTGTACTGGAACTCCCAGAAATCCAGCTGCATCTGGTTTCCCAGTGCTGGGATTAAAGGCATGTGCCACCACATTCACCTTCCTTTCAGCTTCTTTGTTCTCAATTTCTTTATACATTATTTTCTTCAGAGAAAGCAAGATGATTTTTCCAAACCCTATTTATGAAGATTTACTGCTGAAAAGTACAAAAACATTTAAAAATACATGAAGACATTTAAATTTAGGAAAGTAAAGCTGAATAACAGCCAAATAAAGCTATGTCCACAATCACAAACACAGCAAAACAACCCTGGTGATTTCTATTTTAATTCATATTTATTAGCACTAACCTGTGTGTGTGGTGTGTAGACATGTGTACATGTGTGCGCATGCATGTGGGAGCCAGGTGTTGATGCTGTACTTTTTCAACAGCTCTGTACCTCACTAGCTGAGGAGGAGGAGGAGGTGCCTAATGAAAACCCTGGTAAGATAAATTCCATTCTTTCAAATCACATGTGGCTTTTCAGGTTAACATTTCACAATGCTCCTGTCCATTTCTGACAGCAATGACCAGGATCATATACTCTACATCAAAACAAAACATCAGATATTCTACACCAACCAAAAAGAGCTACAAAGCTTAGCTGCAACAACTAGAAACACATCACGCTGCAATGTCTAAAACAGGCATTTTTAAGACGTATTTTTAAATAGGCATACTTATCCCAACCAACAGCTCCTATCTCATTAAGAAGGTCTGTGCAGAAACTGTGGGAAGGTGGCTGTACACACAACTCTTGTCTGTTCTTTAAAGCACCTTCCTGTTGAAAGAAAAAATATTTTAATCAGCCATGGAATACTAAAGGGAGAATTATTGACTGATTACAAAACAAAACTCCAGAGTCCTTTCATGGCCTAACTAAAGTGCTCATTATTTTTATAGAACACCCAGGTGACATGGAAGCTCAGCCTACAAGTGGGTTTCCTAGTAAGGAGAGCAGAGACTGTCTTTGACATGAACTCAGTGGCTGGGTCTTTGATCACCTCCCCCTGGGGGAAGTGCAGCCTTGCCAGACCACAGAGGAGGACATTTCAGTCAGTCCTGATGAGGCCTGATAGACTAGGGTCAGATAGAAGGGGAGGAGGACCTCCCTTATCAGTAGACTGAGGGAGGGACATGGGAGGAAAAGAGGGAAGGAGTGTGGGAATGGGGGGGGGGAGTGAAGGAGGGGACTAGGGATACAAAGTGAATAAATTGAAATAATCGAAAAAAAATTTAAAAAATTATAAAAAAAAAAAAAAACAAACAGGTGACACTTTCTTTTATTGTGTTGTTCAAAGACTGTGGATAACACCAGGCACAGCAGACCGAGTATCCATGGAATAATCTAGAGAAACTGAAAAACTGCTACCAGAAAGAGAACCATTTCTATTCAGGTCTTACAGAGGTTATAATCCTGACTTTAACATTCCCTAGTTCTAACAAATCAAACTCATTGGTTTGGTTTTAAAACAAATGGAAATAAAATAATTTACCTCAGAGAGTTCTTTTGAAGCATCCCCCAATCTCAGTGATTAAAAACACTCATGGCTGAGGATCAAGACGTGCCATATAAGTTCACAAACCTTCCTGAAGGTTCCACAGCTGCTGCCTGCATGTCAGCACCTTTCTCAAGGCTGTCTCTGTGGTCCTAGTGCAGACACTGTCACTAGGAACAGCCTAAGAAATAAACCAACCACTCCCACAGCTTTAGGGATACTATCCAGACAGACCAATCAGTCTGGAGCTTCTGAAGGAAGTTACACTACAAGATCTCATTTGTATTCAGAAACACAGCGCAATGTACGGAACAGAACACTGTAAGGATCAGTGAGAGGACTTGCTTTCGCTTAAGTTAACAAATGTTTCTTTACAATTAAATGACCAACAGAGCCATAACTTACAATCCAGGAGTTAACTGTGTAGTAAGAGTTTAATGGGATGTGGTCTTGTTCTTATATTTACATATTAAAACTGCAATAAACAGGAGAAATTTTCAAAATTTTTCTAGAATATCAAGGGTATATGAAACAATTATGTTTTGTTTTTTTTTTACTTTACTCTTTTAAAGTTCCTATAATATGTAGTTGGAAAGTTCGATAAGTTAGAGTTTACAAATTCATAAATCAAAATTTAAACTGAGAAGTTGATCCTAAACAAATCTGATTTGGAGCATTTCACAATGATGTACCTCAAAGATTTCCATGAGGATACAAAACAGACTTAGAAGAAAGATCTAGCACCTAAGTTACCAGTATATACCACCTGACACTGAAAAGGCTCAAAACTACAGAGGGTGAAATATCAAAATGCACCCAGTTATCAGCAGCAATATTGGTATTATGATCTTGACATAAACAAAGATATGATGTGCTCAAGTTTTGGTCCCCGTAGGAAACACTGCTGAGAGCTGAGTGCGTCAGTCCACTGATGAGTTCAGAGCCCCAGGAGCCATCAGGAAGCAAGGCTTGGCTGGAGAAAGGCCACAAAGTAGAGGCACCCCTAAAGGACACATGTTGTCCTTGTCACTCTCTCTGCCTCCAAGCCACTTTTCTCCTCCCAGACATAATCTTTCGCCTCACTAAACAGGAACCCAGAAGCTATGGTGTAAAATTACCATGGGTAAATGCAAAACACACACACATACACAAAACAGCTCCTCTAACTTAAGTTTTCTTAGGTGTCTTAAATTTTTTCAGAGACAAAAATTAGTCAACATAATAACCAAAATAAATAAAGAATAAATAAGTAGATAAATGTAATTAGAAACCAATATTTTAAGTCAAGAAACAGAAGAATATATGGAATGAAAAACCCAATAATGCTGAATGAAAATATTGTTATGACCTCATGATTACTTTTCCAGAAACAGCAATGAGCACCCCAGTTTCTAGACCATGGTATCTGACACTACTTTCCATGATAATAATGATGATTATTATTATAAAAAAATCCTACAGCTGCTTTAGAGTGGCTGATTACAGTTCTAGATTAAAATCAGTAAGTATGTCTAGAGCAACTGGCATCACAAAGCAGGAAGGTTATGTTATATCCAATGACCACAGGAGCCAACATAAAACATTTAAATTGACCAAAAATAGGACAATTTCAGCATCAGAAAGAAAATGACTGTAATGGAGTAAAGCTAATTAATCATATAAAACTCATGAGTTAATAATGATTCCTAAAAACATATTAGTTACTTGTGATACTTGCTGGCACTAACTCATTACAATAAAAATTGATTTTTTTTTTTTTAAGAAAAGAAGCACTTTGTTGCTCTAGTATAACCAAATAATGCTGAGGTTTCTTTAGTTAATAAATCTAAATAATAGTTTGGTTTGGCTTTGTTTTACTCACCATTTGTGATACTGTCCTTTGAAAAAGTATTACACAAGCTGAGGAGTTTTATCCCCTGTACCACAAAATTGTAAAGTATAGCTTAACAGACACACACACACAGCTGTTAGCAAATGTACCCCCAGCTGTCAGCAGCAATATTGGCATTATGATCTTGAAATAAACAAAGATAGGAGAAGCGTAACAAGTTAAGCAAAACTGTTCTGGTAGGATCTGAAGTATCCCCTAAAAATGCTCATGTTTTCCAGGTTTGGTCCCCTTGGGAAACACTGCTGAAAGCTGAGAGCTGTACAGTCCTTTATAAACCTGAGTGAAATGGTGGACACAGAAAGATCAGCAGCAGATGATGAATCCCTAGGTGGTGGGCTGATAAGAGACTGTAACAGATGCATCTGAACTACTGACCAGCCTTTCCTCACTGCAGAATAAACAGACATCATCCACCCCTAGGGCATTACAGTAAGAGGTACAAAGCACCAAGTACTCCTATCAAAGTAAATATATGAGTTCTGACTAGGGAGGTTACAGAGAAAATGGACTGATTATCCTTTACCTAAGTTGCTTGGGAATAGTTTGGGATTTTAATTTTTTTCAGGTTTTTGGATTAGTTACATATATACATAGTAAGATATTCTTTATACATATAACCTGAAGGAAAATTTAAACTATGTCATTAGCAATTCTTTGCACAAAGTCTCACTCTGTGATATTTGCCATTTGTGTTATCATGGCAGTGTTCAAAAATTTGGGATGTAAGTGAAACATTTTGGTTTGGAGGTAATTGATGTCCAACGCTTAGGAGGGTGTGCTGACAGATTCCATGGATGTCCAACACACTCAGTTTGCAATGCAAGAAATTTTACAGGGCATATGATTTGTTATGTCCAACAAGTAAAGAGCATGAAAGAAACAGGAGCAAGAGCAAAGAGAGCACGAGTGTACATTAAACCCCACATCAGCATCGGGGTACAAGAGTGGGACCCTTTACCCTGATAAAGCAAAGCACCTGTAAGGGATTGCCTCTAACTTCACCGAGACTGTACGTAAACATTTAAAATCAGTATCACTGTCTTTTTCTTACCATCATAGTGCACATGTGTGTTGGTCAGCATGTCTGTTAGGGAGCATGTGTACCGCAGCATATGTGAGTACCAAAGGGCCACTTTATGGGGTTAGTCCTCTCTCCACCATCATGGGGGTTCTGCAGGCCAGGTCCCTGTATCTAAAAGCCATCTTGCCAGCCCCAATTATGTATTTTGAAGCAGGCAAGAAGCACTTGGCTGAAGATATATAAACTGATATGCTTATAAAGGGATTGCTACAGTCTCCAGGATTTCCTGTAGTTAAAATACTACAATATCTTCCAAAATTGTTGGGGAAGAAACATGATTAACAAAATGTTGAGGTTAGGTCATAGGCTCAGGGTATTCACTATAATTGCCTCTTTCGTTCATACTGAAAAAGTCCTTCAGGATTCTGTATTGGTCTAAGAAGTTAATTATATTTTATGCTATGTGTAATGCAAGCAAGAGGATCTGACTTCAGCCTCCATCACCCATGTAAAAAAGCCATGAAAGCATACACACAGCCATAGCCCCAGGTCTGGGGAGGTAGAGACAGGAAGATCTCTAGGGGTCCGTGGTCAGCCAAGTTAGCTGAAGCAACAATCTTCATGTCAGTGAGAGACACCATCTCAAAGATAAGGTAGAACACAACTGAGAAAACTGACAATTGAGTATATCCACACACATGTAGACACATGTGCATGTGCCCTCACACATGTGCACATGTATCAGTATCAATACACAGAAAAATACCAATAAAAAGTTTTGGAAACAATATAGACTTGCTAGACAATGAGAAAGAAATTCTTACCAAAATCATCTTCAACTCCATCATAAAGCTCATTAGATCAGGAGAGTGCTTCATTCTCTAAATCAAAACATTTTCAAATTATAACTCAATTATAACCATTGAAACTGAATATGGACAATGTATTAGCTACATCTAAAGTTTAAAAGTATTAATGGGTAAAACATCTGTCATCACTTCTATTCCTGGCAACTTCATTTTTAAAGACTAAAATGTTTGTCTTAGTTTGCCTTCTATTGTTGTAATATACACAACAACCAAAGGCTGTTGAGAAGGAAAGGGTTTGTTTCAGCTCATGGCTACAGTCCATCGAAGTCCAAAAACTCCTGGCAAGAACTGAAAGCAGAGACCATAGAGAAACAGAGAAGCACTGCTTATAGCCTTTCTCCCGTGGCTTGTTCAGCTTGCCTGCTTATACCAGGCAGGAACACCTGCCCAGAGGTGGTATCATCCAGAGGGCTGGGACTTCCCACAGCAATCATTAATCAAGAAAACAGCCAGTCCTGAAGATACCTGATAAAACAGGGCCAGCTGAAAGGGGAGGAGGCCCTCCCCAAACAGTGGGCTTGGAAAGGGGCAGGGAGGAGATGAGGGAGGGAGGGTGGGATTGGGAGGGAATAAGGGAACGGGATACAGCTGGGATACAGAGCTAATAAAATGTAACTAATAATAAAAAAAGAAAATTAAAAAAAAAAAAAAAACAAGTTACCAAGAAAAAAAAAAAAAGAAAAAGAAAAGAAAATACCCTATAGACTTGCTTACAGGCCAGCTGATGAACGTAATTTCTCAACAGAGGTTCCTCTTCCTATAACCCAAGCTTGTGTCACTTAAGTTGAATAGAACTAACCAGGACTATCGTATTTGGGTGAAATGTAATGAACTGTGGAAGAATTTACTTAAAACTGCACACATGCCTCCATTCCTTCAGTACTACTCACTGAAAGAACTACGAAATGTAGAAAAGCATTATTTTAAATGGGGAAGGAAAGGGCAGAGAAAAAGTGACATGAATGGAAAGAAGAAATAAAATATAAAATTGCAACTTTTGGATTTACTAGATTTTTTTGATTAGCTAGATTTATTAATCATCATATATACTTTGCTTCTTGAGCTTTAAGATCATGGATTTCATCCCTTCACAACTAGCTCACCATGATTCAAAAAAAAAGAACCCTCAATACAATTTATACTAAAGTGACAAAAAAGGGGGGTGTATACCCTGTAAAACAGAATAAAAGTTTCAGAAATATGGTATTCCATTACTCCTGAGTCTTTTATTCTTAAAATAACAATAGGATAAATGGTCACATCTTATAATACTTTCTTAGATAAAACACTACATCATTTCTCCGCTTGTAAAAAGAAAATATGGCTTGCTTTGTGTTTCTGTTTTACATTTTGATGCATTTCACTAGCCTCACATTGTTCCAAACATAGCTAAATGTAAACTTGTTCTACACTTCCAGAAGAGAAAATTAGGAACCTGAGCTATTTGAACAGTGCATGAAGCAAACCATTCACGTAACGTGGCTCTGGTGGCGCGGATCCCTGTAGAGGAAATCTTACCCAAAGCGGCTTCTGTACTGAACAGCTTGAATCAAAGCCCTGAGATCCCCAGTCCAGCAGCTAAATCCAGCTCAATATCTTGTTTTATAAGTGAGTTTTACTGGAATATAGCCACACCCGTGTGTCTTTTGCTTATGGCTCTTTAGGTGCTGCTGCCGGAACAGAGTAGCACAACTGTGACCTGGCTTGCTGTTCTTGAAACCTGAAATTTTAACGATTGTCCTTTATAAGAGTTTGTTGATTGCGTGGGTCGAATTTACTGAAAATAGTGTAACAGAAAAACAGTAACATTCAACTGAACCTGCGAATGAAACAAACAAACAAAAAGTGAATGCTAGGTTTTCTGACCAGCTGGAAGGTAGAAGGAAAACTTTAGGCCTCTTCTTTCAGAACAATCAGACGGAAAATGCGCCCTTTGTTTCACTGTTTGCTTAGCTTCTATGAACAAATTTCTTGGGCTATTCAAATGTCTCAATGGACTCATTCTTAAATTTTCATATACAATATACATCAGTTACAAGAATAAGGGAATAGGGTAAAGAGAGGATAGAGACAGTCTCTACATTCCATTAAGGCAACGCTGAGCTTATACAACTAGCACAACAGTTCGCATTCTGCAATTCGGCAGTTCATCTCCTGCATTTCTCTATGGCTCAATAATGCTTTATAGAGAGTGAACTACCTTGTCAGTTATCACACAACTTACCTTTAACACCAAATGTAATATAGAACACAGGAAAACCACACAAATGAAAAGATCATCAAAAGAAGTGCAATTCTACTAACATGTATTTCTTTGCAAGAGACATTTTATTACTTTCATTTATTTCAGTAATAATCTCTTTTTACAATGTTTCTATAATCTTCAAGGCACTTTTCAGATAGGGCACAGCAAGTACTAAGAATAAGTTAATGCTGCCTAGATTTCCCCTTGGCCACCCTCAGTTCCTCTCTTTATGAAAGGTCACATGGATCTAGAAAACTCCCCTTTTTCCCTTCCTGACCAGAACCTAGAACTACCCATCCCATTATTAACATAGACAGCCTAGGTCCAGATTATTTTCCTATCACCACTCTTCAAGTTCAGCAGAGAAACGACCCAGGAAATACTGCATATGGATGGGGTACATAAGGGTGGGGTATATATGTATATGTTACATATGGATGGGGTATCCATGTTTGAAAATCTAAAGCCTCAAGGCTGCAAATCAAATTCAAACCCCAATGTTGCCTTGAGATCTGCTGAGGATTCCAGAAAACATTTTATGTTACAATCTTTAAAACTCATGAAACCTACAAAACTAAGCAACCAATAAACCATTTTGCTTACTGCAACCCAGGGCTTTAAAGAGTAAGTTTAGAAATCTCTATCCTCTTTTGAAGCATAAGACTTTTAACAGACTTACCTGTTGGACTATTTGATGGTAATCATTAAGTATATTTTTCAGTTGCCAGCTACACAGTAATCTAAAATTTAATAGAAAAAAAAAATGGTTTATTCATTGTTTGCTATTACAAAGGAGAAAATGTATTTGTATCCTAACAAACATGTACCTGCAATCAAAAGAATCATATAAGCATAATTCTGACCAGTAAACAAAAGCATTAACCACTCATACTGCTGAAAATATCATCTCCAAAATGCCAGTATTAATTTTACCTCAAACATAAACAATTGCTATCAGTAAGCAAGAGGTTAATAATGCATCTTTGCTAAGCTGTAACACACCAAATAAAATATTCCACTGAACTAGACTCTGCATCACAGGAGGCAACAGAATACACAGTTTGGATCATAATGTATCAAATTTACCTTGAAAAAGCCTACAGCACAACACAGTCTCCAAATTCTAACTGAAAGGATAACTGAAAAGATACCTTTAATTATGTAGGCAATGGTAAGTTCACCACCGCCAGCTCACCACAACTCTGCACACAATATTGGTAGGTCAGTAACTTTTTAAGAACACCTTTGATACCAGCACTTGGAAGGCAGAGGTGGGGGTGGGGAGGTCTCTGAGTTGAAGATCATCCTCATCTACAAAGCAAGTTTCAGGACAGCCAGAACTACATGAAAAACCCTGTCTCAAAAACCCCAAAACACATTCATATGTACTTGTATACACACATACATAAAAGAAGTAATAATCAAGTCTGGGTTTTCCCAAACTGCATCCAAGCCCATCACTCCCTCCACTCCCGTGTTAAACTCCATTCCCACCCATCTCATTTTTTGAGTTGTCCCTGCATCGGTAGCATTCCCACCCCTTGTTACCAACTCGGTCTGGTTTTGTTGTTTTTTTTTTTCCTTTTCCAAGGCAGATTTATTTACACACACACACACACACACACACACACACACACACACACACACACAGAAGCATAACCAAAGAACACCAGGGAACCAGGTGTAGGAAGCAGGGTGGGGGCAACATTCCATCATTTTGACTAGCTAAACAAAATCAGTTCTGTTCCAACTGTATTGTGTTGTATCTAGGTAGCCAGACAAAAGCACTTTAAGCTGATTGGCTGGGATTTAGGATAGAGGAGCTCTTGGGAGCTTTCCAGCTTTCTGGGATTAAGGAACATAGCAGGATGTTACACTGTTTCACTCTAGCAGAACATGCATTTATCATCTACTGTTTTATTCTAAGCAGCAAGTATTGAACTACTGAATTGTATCCTGGTCTCAGGCCTCACTGCCTGAGAACTTGAACTTAATTTCATTTTATGATCGAAATGGAGACTTGGAGGCAAAATGGCTTCTGATATGCTAAACGCTACAGCAGGTGTTAACAGAGGATCCACAGTTATGCTAAGAACTAAAGTAGCTCTCAACAGAGAGGCTATAAAGTTTAAGCAGGTTACAACAATGTACTTTCACCATCTGTGAATTTTGGGGAGAAACTCAACTTGGTCTCTTATTAACTACACCTTTACTGCGGCATTCCTTAACTTAGCCTTGCTGTACTTCCTCAAAGAATTAAGCTGTTTAAGTACATATCATTTTCAAACTTTCAGGACTCTGTCTTCAGTATCCATCTAACTAGCCTTCATGCATACCAATTTATAATTTTCAATTTTCTTTTTACTCAATCATCCACTACAAAACCCAGTAGAACCTCCACTATTGATAAGTAATAAAATCCTGGTGCTTCTATTCATAGACAGCTCTGGTTTCTTTTTCTTTACTCACAGACGTTGAAAAGCAGAACTGAGGTCTGTGGTGACACCAACACTTCCAGCCTTAACTTCTGATGAGCTGTTCTTGACTACATCAATTTTACTCATACTGTACACCAACGAGATAGAATGGCCCTTCCAAAATTATTTAATTATGTATGTGCAGTAAATATTGGTGAAAATCTGGGTGGAACAAGTCTTCTAATCCTTTCCATTGCCCTCTTAAATCCCTACTCAAAAGTTGTTAGGGAAGTATACACAATTGTTGTTCACCGCCTGCAATAAAAACAAATAGAGAATGGATGTGCTGACTGTGAAAAGAAGAGGGCAATGACTCACAAATGACAAACTGGTTTTAAAAACAAGTGTTTGGGGATCTTGGCACTACAATCTAGGTACTTGAGGCAAAACTCCAGCTGGCAGAATCATCTGCATCAGGCCACCTGTGCACTAACACACGTATGTACTCAACCACATCACCTTGCCTTCTTCAGTTGCCGATCCTTAGGCAGCACTATTCTGAGGTGGAAGTCACTTCCCTGTAGAAAAGAAAACTTTTTAAGTGTCCTCCTGTCACTTAATGTTGGAAAAGTACAGTCACACAAAACATTTTAGTATACTTATAAAGGATATCAAATTTAGCTTAAATTTTTTATACTTGAACAAATGTAAGCAACATATCTATATTGCATTTGAGGAAAAATAATAATTCAAAATCCTTTGTTGAAACTTTACAACTACCGGAAAATCATACAACATTAAGGTAGGGGCCTAATTTTAAGGAAATAGACATAAGAAAAAGAAATACTATAAAATTGTTAGCAAACATAAAGAAATGTATTTCTTAAACTATAAATTCACCAAAAAGGATACTGCTTCAAATTCTTTTAGATGAGGAAGAAAAAGAAATCACAATATAAAATAAGACTATATAATATATTCAGGTTTCAAGCTTGCAACTTTCTAACTGTTAATAAAATGAAAATATACTGTTATAAAATCTAGGTTTTTAGACATAACAGAAATAATTTTCAGGGATGGAGGGATGTCGCAGCAGGTAAGCATACTTGCTGCACAAACATGAAAAATTAGGTTCAAATCCCAACACCCACATAAAAAGCCTATAACCCCAGTGCTGTGTAGAGTGGATGCAGGAAGATATCTGGGCTTTCTGGCCTCCAGCCTAGCTCCAAGATCAATAAGAGATGATGTCTAAAAAGAGCAGAGAATGAGAGAGCAGGATAGCCAATGTCTTCTGTAATCTACACATGTTCATGAGCATGGTGTACCACAGAAATATACACACTGAAGCAGGTTTGTACACCTACACACACACACACACACACACACACACACACACACACCTTCCCTCACGCACTCTGGAAGAATTTCATATAGTGAACCTTCAATAAATAAAATAAATAATATATTAACTTTTAAAATCTAATTATTCATTAGTGATACCAAATTTTATTCAGGAGTCTGTGGAAAAGAAAGTGTTCTCTGAAAAAATATATTCGACTTTCCACTCTTTTGAAAGTGAATAGGTAAGCAGTTTAAACTTTGTAGCTTAAATAGGATGATACATGTGAAATCTGAGCAAAACTAAGCAGAAAAGACAAACAGAAATGTAATCTTTTACTCCAACAATATAAAATGAAAAGAGTAATAAAATTCTTAAAAAACAATTACCATGTGGAATTTTAGTAGACTCCCTCAAAGCAGATTTAAAAACAGAGGAACACAATTAAATGTACCCCATAACCTTTACTTTCATGGTAATATTACAGGTCTGACTTTCATTACATTTAAATGTCCTTTAAAAAAAATGAAACAAAATGTACTACTGACCTTTTCAAAAGGTCAAGTAACAATAACTCACTATTTCATTAAAGCACTAAAAGGTATTATGCAGTAACTTCAGTCTAACTTCACAGACACCCACACACAGGCGTTAGAGTGATAAGAAATTCACGATGCACATGAAAGCAGGGAAGCAATTCTACTTTACCTGAAAGAATAAAATTCAAAATCCCGTACTTGGGAAATCCAGACATTGTGAAAGGTCGAGTGTCATAAATGGGACAACATACAAAAGTAGACTTTATGTTGTGAAAGCATAGGAGCAGTATTGCTCTTTCTCAAAGAGCAGATGTTTCAAGATGCTGGTTAACAAGAGTACTGAGTGTCTAAACCTCAATGTCCCCATACATCCTGCTCCAAAAGCTAGAGTGATTAATAATACAAGCAAATAAAATGACAAAAATACTGTGTTTGCAAACAGAAGTCAGAGAACACAATCAATCTGCAATTACTTGTAGCAGGGACAAAAATCACTTAACTAGAGCTCATTCTGGCTTCCATCAGCAATGAAAGTTAAAAGTGTTATTAAAAAAAAAGTCACAGAACAATGAGGGGACTGGTGGGATGCACAAAAATAATAACAAAGGATTCTGGGAGAACAGAACAGTAACAGTAAGAAAGAGACTTATATGAACCAAAAACTCAAGGACAGGTGGCAATAGGTGTGCTCTGAGCACTCAGAAAGATGAAACAGGACAATCATGAGCTTGAGGCTTTCCTGGGCCATGTAATGAGATACTATTTTTAAAAAAGGAAAAAGAAAGCATCAAGGAGATGTCTGAAAACATTCAGAGCAGCAAAACGATTAGATAGAGACACCTTTTGAAAAGCACATTAGAAAGAAAAGTAGCAATGGGAAACGTGCTTTTATGATAGAAATAAGACCCCACCAGGTCTAATCACTTTCTCCTCATCCCTCCAGAATTAATTCATTAAATAGACTGCATTTTCCTTCGCCAACAGAAAGTACTCTTAAATCAGAGATTTCACAAACTACTGCAAACAGCAAAACACTCATAAACTCAAAAGATCTGTGACTCCAGTCCAAAGGTGCTATGACACACAGAGAGAGAAGTGAGAGGCAAGGGTGTTTAAGAGCCCTAGATAACATAGTTTTGGTGAAAAATCTAAGCCTACAAGTAAAGAATCTAAGTTTATATAAGAAATATGACTCGTAATAATCCAGTCTGAAAAATATACCAGAATTTAAAAATAAGGAGAAGGAGCCAGAGACAGGGCTCAGTGGTAAAGGAATTGCCATCAAGCCTGAGTTTAGCCTTTGAGACACATAGCTCACCCTTGACCTCCAGATTCCACACCTTGGCATGCATGTACCTGCGCACACACACATGCGTGCGCACACACACACATACCACATAATTTTTTTTTTCTGCAAACTATTCTTGTTTGGG